TCCCAGCTTATTACACAGTGATCATCCTCACCAAGGCTGTCGACTACCCCACCTCCCAATCCCCCTCGTCTTCTCTCTCCATTTAAAGGCTATGGTCCATTATTCCAGTCTTCCTCACTGTCCCCTAAGCTCACTTGGCCTTCTTTCTTTACCCCACACCATTTAACAGGATTTCAAGCCTCAACACATGAAATCACCCACCTTCTACATGGTATATACAAACCAGCAGGAGCATTGCTGTATTCTAAATGCATACTCTTATACCCATAGGTAAAGGTAGCTCTCACACCGCATTGGCTGTAGGATTCAGCCTCGTGAAATCCCCACCATCCACATTGCCACATCAACTGGTGTTATCATTGTGCCAGTCTTGTTTATGCAACCATATTGTTGCAATGTCATGGGCACAGCATCCCTGTCAAGTCTTGGGGTCAAGAGCTGTTTCAGGAAGACTACTGTGCTTGCGTTTAGGGCTCCCAGAAATGCTAACTTATAATAGTCACGCTTTAAAATGAGTTAATGTCCATGGCTTTCTTGGCTGTGTTTCTGGCAGTGTTTCCTCTCCTGTGCTCTGCCAAGAAAGAGTATGTGTACCTTTTCTCCTCAAAGAGTTTGCTTTCCCTTGAATTCAGCCAGGTAAAAAAAGAAACAAACAAACAAACAAAACTCTCAGGCTCTTTGTATCACAAAAAATTTAAGATTATGTGTCCTTTTCCCAAGTATAATGAAACAACATGTTCTTGTAGCTTTTTCATCCTCAATGGAAGCAGATCTTCTCTTGTTAAGAAACTGCCAGTTCAAGGTCATCTTCTTTACATAGCTGAGGCTATGAAACCCTGTCTCGAAAGGGGAGAAGAGTACTAATCCCGCTGCAGCCTGCAATTCTGTGTAATAATGAATTCCAGGCTCTTTTTTCACTTGTATGGAGGGAGCAGTTCCCTCAGTTCTCAGAGTGCCAGCCTGTCACCTCACGGCCTCGTGGCCTGGTTCCAGCTTCCTAGAGTGAGTGTTCCTCCCCAGGTCTGAGCTTGCAGCTGCAGCCTCCTGGAGACCTCTGCTGATCTTTTCTCATTGCTTCGCAGTTCCTCCTCTCTGCCCGAGCTTGCTCTGTCTGTGTTGAGTTACTCTCTCACACTACCCTGTGCTCTTCATACTGCTTGAACTTATATTTGTTAATGTGCTTGTTTATGACTGGGGGGGTGTTTGGGTTTTGTAAGTTTTGCGAGGATTTTTGTTTATATTTGAGACGTGGTCTCATATACGCTGACTCTTCAAACTCCCTTTGCTGCCATGCATGACTTTTAACTCCTGTTTCTCTTGTCTCTACCTCCCCAGTGTTGGGATTACAGGTGTGCACCACCACACCCAGACCCTATTTGTGCAGTGCTGGCGATCAGAGCCAGGGTTTGTGCCTGCTAGGCAAACACTCTACTGACTGAACTACATTCTCATCCTTATTTTAAAGCTCTCAGAGGTCAAGGTCCAAGTTTGGTTTTCATCATTATATATTGAACACCAGAGCAAATATCTGAACACATGATAATCAATAAATGTTTGGCAAAGTGGTATTTGGGAACAAACATAACAAAGAGAATCTGTGATGATGAATAGACTGGGGAAACAGAAAAGAAATCATTGTGTGTGAAAACATGATGAGTTTGAATTTGGATATGTTGAGTTTTAGGTGACAGCCAGGATTCTAAGTTCAATATGTTCCAGACTTTCACTCTGGCAAGATGCTCATACAGATTTGGAGTCATCACCATGAAGTTTTTGATTGGAAACAGATGATCTCTGGGGAAAGAATGTTATGTGAGAACTCATAGACAAACACCTTCAATCAGAAACAATAGCAGGTGCTTCTATGAGTTGTCAATAACTTTTTTTGTTTAATATGAAAAGGAAAAATTAGAAGCATTCTATATTTACAAATATATAAAGATTTTGAAACTACAAAACTATTTCCCCACTTGTAACAGTAATGTTTATTTCAAAGTATTTATATTCTGTTATAATTACTTCCAAATCATCATTGTGAAGAAATAAAATCATTATCATTGGAAAACCAAGTATATCATAATCATATATGTTTGTGAATACCAAAAGAGCTCTTTTATATGAAGTTGGCTATTTGTATGTCTGTCTTTAAATTAGACAGTGATTGTGTTTCTGTTACTGAGATATCACAGGGAGACTAATTACTGTCAGCTTAGTCTCTAGTTCTGTTTCTAGCTAATGTTAAGTCTATAAAAAATAAGAAACTTTGATCTTCTAAAAGGGTTAACCTTACTTTTTTCAGAACAAATAATTTATCAGTTTCATTTTTATTGGTTCTGTTATGTGACTATTCCGTACATGTATATACTAAATTCTGGTTTCTCCCTCCCCACACTATCTTACTGTTTTCTTCTTAAAATATCAGTACCCCTCCCCATTCCCTAGAGTCCCTTTCTTATAATCATGACCTTTTTTTTTTAACTAGGGTCACCTGTATTATCACTGAATTAAAATTATTCACTAGAAGCAGATGGAGTCATTAGTGGGTATACAAAAGAAGGCAGTGACACCCCCCTCCCCACACTGACCACCTTTAGCAAATACCTCAACAATGAAAGGTAGGATTCCCCAGCCCCTCCTCCATCTGACTGTGGATGAACCTTTCTCATGCAGACCCAGTGCAAGTATCCACAACTTCCATGAGTTTCTTGTTGTAATGGTTATGTCTTTCCCAGAAGACGACTCTTTGTTGTTTCTCTCCCTACCTTCCAACTCTTACATTGTTTCTAACCCCCTTCTCCAATATTCCTTGAGTCTTAATGGAGTGGTATAAATGCCTTCTTTAGGGCTGAGAAAATGAATTCTCGGCCAACTCAATTTTAAATTGATCTCATAATTAAAAGACACCATATTGGGACTGAGAAGGTGGTATAAGGGTTTCCCATGCAAGTTTAATAGCCTGAGTTCAGCTTCAAGAACCCACATAAAGATGGAAGGTGATAATTCCACAAAGCTGGCCTCTGACCCCCAACATGTGCTGTGTGTGCTGTGTGTGCAAGCCCCTACACACATGCATCTTGCACACACATACAGTGATAAAGTCTAAAAGTCTTTAATAAAAAGTGCTATCATTAAAGTGTGCCTCTTTCTTCTACTTTATTAAAAAATGCCTGTGACTGGAAGAATTGGGACAACAGATGGAATTGTGCCAATTCACCTAGCAAACGTAAACCTTAGTCACATTACAACAGCTTTCTACTTTCCCAGTCTTTGCTGTTTTACCCATAAGCTAATCAGAGTGTTTCTGGCATATAAGCAAGGCCCTTAGAATCATCATGCTTCCCTGTAGGTAAAGGGCTCATCACTGTCAGATGAAATTAGCTGTTATTAAAAAATATGCAGAAAGTGTAAAGGCAGAAAATAAATTAACTCATTCTTATATGGCGGCAATAATGTATCATGGATGAGCAGTGGACATGAAAGAACACATGCACAGGGTGTGACTTCCTGTGTCACAGGATGTCACTTCCAGAGCTTTACCTATACTGAGTTCTCAGAAGCTCTGACTATTACTAAAAGTAGGCATGTACATTCATGAAGAAAGGTAGAGACCCCAAGATAGCCTGCTGATGTATGGGAGAGATAACTATAAAATTTTTGCTCATAGACTGGAATCAATATAAAATCTTTTGTTGATTTTCTTAATCACACACACACACACTCACACACACAGACACACATACAAAGAATAATAGCATCTTCTCAAAGAAGTATATTCTCTAAGAATTAAATGGTAATGAGGGAAAGTTTTATTTCATCCATTTTCCCTACATGTTTACTCTGCCCTTTGATGATATTTTGAGTAATTAAAGTCAAGTATTTGTTGTTAACTCAGTACATTCCACAACAATAGGCTACCTGAACTTTTTTTGGGGGGGTGTATTAATGTATCTTGTACATAGCAAAAGAGCTGTGATAGTCCCGTGTCATAGAGCTTACTGAAAAGGTCAGTTAAATTTCTTAGCAATATATAAGATACAGTCGAGTGATAGAACAGAATTGCAGTCTAAAGATATGCCACCCACAATCTGGGTTTAAGAAAATATGGCAGCCCAGCCCTCTGACATAGACCTATGCAGTCAGGAGACTGCAGTAGAAGGGTCTCATGTTTAAGGACCGCCTAGGCTACAGAATTCGTCCAAGTCCAACCTTGTCTCTAAAACGAAGAGGTAGTAGAGCACTTACAAGCACATGTGTAAGCTGTAGGTTGAAACCTCAATAAATGGATGATGAACACAGGGAGAGAGCACAGAACTCCTACATGGGAGATGCCCCTATGTTGCCTGCTTACTTCATCCCATATCTCTTTTTAGCTAACTATTCTCAGTCCCATTACAGAAATGGAAGCTAAGTTTAGCAAATTGTTTGGCCTTTTATGTTTAGTGCACAAAATTCTTAATTAACAAAGTAAAATGCCACCATCCATTGTAAATCACTTCGCTAAACTTTCAAACTTAATAAGGAATCTTGTCTTGTCCAAAAACTACTTTCCCACCCCTGCTGATCTGGCACTCATGCCTGATTCCCCGTGGAGCTGAGTGAAAGAATGCAAAGGGAGCCAATTAAAGAAACTTTGAGCCAGAATAGACAAGCACAGGCCATCTTGTCCATCCTCCTGCCTCCAGGCAAAAGCCGTCCACTGCAAGCACAATTTTCTGCGTGAATCCTGCTGACAAAAACGTTCACCACATGTAAATGATAAGTCATAATCCAGCTATTGCAACTAAAGCAGATTGTTAACTGTTCGAGACTTCATTTATTGCATGGTAAAGATGCTGAGAAGCAGTGCTCATCTGAATTGTCTTAATTCTGCCTTTCAGGAAAATAATTTTGGGCAAGAAATGCACTTGGATAATTGTCAACATGGGGGGAGGTTTGTGTCCAGAAAATAAAGTTATCTTCCTCATCTTATTAGGTATATTTTTGGTTCCCTTTCACTCCAGGCTTACCTTACGGGTGGGAGGAAGCTTACACAGCAGACGGGATCAAGTACTTCATCAAGTAAGTCCACGCCTCTCAACCAAGTAAGCAATTTTGCTCACATCTGGAGAGAACCTGGAAGTTGCAGAATAGTCAGCAAACCCAAGAAACCCTCTTAGAGGTTACAAAAATTAGAAACAAGAAATGAAGCCTCACCATCTTCATTTTATGTGATTTAACTGCTGATATCAGATGTCACTGGAGGGGGTAAAACCCTGGCAACAATTTCTAGGGAAAGAACCAAAAACTGGAACAGAATCGTGGTTTGAACTTGAGTATTGCCTGTCTGAATTTCCGTGCAGGATGATACCATTACCATTCTTGAAAAGCCAATATCTAATTAAAAAGCCATTTGTCATGCCCTAAAACAGTGGTAATAGCATTCACTCTCTTTAAATGCTGTACATTGAAAACAATGTTTGGCCATTTCTGTTTGCCTGCAGTATTCTTGCACATTATCCGTGAAATATGTAGACTGCATACCTGATTGTAGTTCATATGGTCATAGGAAATGGCAGGCACTAAATAACCTAAGGTGTAAATAGGACAGTATATGTGAACAACCCAGATCCAGTGTGGTAACAGTAACCTTTAGGGTTTGTGTGCAACCCTAGCATTCTCCTTCATCTGTAGATGAAGGAAATCAGAGACTTGAGTTGTTGCCAGGAAATCCACAGCTGCTGTTACCAAGACAGAATCAGAAGCAATGTCTCCTGGGCAAGACCTTTCTATTGCACCAGTCTGTCACTCACAGAGACCTTGAACGCCGAGTAGGAAATGACTCTCTTGTGCAAGACTGGATGGTTTTTCCCTGAATACAGAACGTTGTCACGTTTCCACCATATTCTGAATAAACCCTTTAATGTCAAAACCAGTGTTACGAGAGTTACAAGGGGAAACCCACCTCCTGGCTGGGATTTCTAGAAAACCCCATGTACATCCTTTTTGCAAGTACTACAAGAGAAATGCCCTTGCTGTCCTTTCAAATGAGCACATACTTCCCAAGCGCTCTCTCTCTCTCTCTCTCTCTCTCTCTCTCTCTCTCTCTCTCCCTCTCTCTCTCTCTCTCCACAGTTTCTCTGTGTGTAGCTCTAGCTATCCTGGAACTAGCTTTGTAGACCAGGCTAGCCTCGAACTCACAGAGATCTGCGTCTGCCATAACCTCCCGGCCCTATATCTCTCTTAACTTCAGTTTCCTCAGACAAGGAGAGTGTGTTGCCATGGTAGAGCGACTGATGTTGCCTATCAACCATGCACCCTGAATCCAGGAAGTGACTAGTAACTGCATAGCATTATTTTTCATTATGGAATGACTATCATGTCGAGAAAGAACAAAGCCTGCAAACCATCATCTTAAAAATACCATAACTTCAAATTTTCATATTTGTAAGGATGTAAGGAAGAATTGTATATAAACCTGGCAGTGTTTTCATGGCTTGTTTTTTTTCTTGATCTGTCTGGTGGGTGATAAAGCAAAACTGCGGTTTATAGCATGAAATAGTGAGAAGTCTTGGAATCCCGTGTGTAGATCACACTCAGCAGCCCACTCCTCACTTCCAGAATCATTCCTCTTCTGGAGACAAACCTACTATCTAATACATTGCATTGATCATGTCCGCTTTCTAGAGGAGTCTCTACGCTGTGCTGTATAGGTGGTAGTAAAAGAAAACACCATATTGTAATTTGCATCAGACTTCAGCTGATGCGCACTGACCAGGAGGACACTAAGTGTAATTGTCCATTTATTGTATTATTTAGTCCTCTTAATAATGCGAAAGGTAAATACTACAGGGTGTCATGTTTATGACATCATGTCATCATGGTGCCATGCTGATGAAAAGCTTCATCTCGCCCTCAGCCATGCCTCCTAAAAGTCCCACAAGGAGAGTCATGATCCAAAGACGAAAAACTGGGATTCTGCATTCAAAGGCCTGTGAAAATATCCAGGTCTGCACCCTGTAGAGAGTTCTTTTACCTAAGCTGAGCTGTCTGTCAGTATGTCCTAGCCATAGTGGCAGGGCCTCACTAATGCTCTGTGAGAAAAGGGTAGTAAGGGCAGAGTTCCCATAACACGAGCTAAAATAGACCCAGATATGGCCAGCCAGTGAATCAGTTTGTCACTGCCTGGTTCCTAACAGGATGAGCCACTGACCCTTGGAAAATCGAACAGCCTTCTAAGCTGGACTTCCACTACAACAAGGAGTAGAGCATATAAGGATAGGACCAAAATGGAAAGCCAGCAAGCTCTGGCCACTCCAAAATCTAGCTCAGTTCCTATGGAAGGAGTAGAGAGAGTGGATATTTGCTCCACTCAGAAAACAACTCAAAGTGTGTTCTGGAAACTGATCAGTTCTTTTCATTGACCTTAATCATGATGTAGGAGGAAAGCAAAAAAGAGAGAAGACAGATTTCTTCTCCAAAGGGCATGGATGGGTATCATTTTCACATCACTGCAGCAGAAGAGACTGTCAAAAGAGGCTAAACTCAGCAGGGTTGCCCTCAATCAAACTTCAGGGTCCAGACCCAGTGTTATCTGGCTCCAAAACCACTCCCCTACCCCCCCCACACACACACACACATTGGACTGCATCATGCTGCCTTCTTTGTTTTAAGGTCACCTGGTGAGAGGTGACATTTTAAGCAGATGTTGACTCAGGTAGAATGTTATACTTTGTCCATTTCAAAATAGCAGAACTTGCTTCTAAGAACAAGTAGTGGTCTTCTGTAGATTGGAAGGTCAAAGAGTAAAAATAAGAAAATCTAACATTATCCCAGTCTCAGCCTCCTGGAAGAGTAGAATGCTTGCTATAAGTTAGGTAGTCTAACTGTTATGTCCCTGTTATTTTTTTATATGTTGTTATATCCCTACTTTCTTGTAGGGAGCCTATTGAACAAAATCATGAGCACCCATCACTAAATAGATGTAGTGGATTTTGTCAGGATCATTAGGCTCCTCACTAGAATGGAGGCTCAGCTGCATCTCTCATTGACGTGGATGTACCCATTCATCTTTCATCTGACTCTTCACCTTCACCTGGTTCTTTTGTTTCTCTGCAGAGGCCACCCTCTTCCCCAGGAGTTGTTTGTTTGAAGGGAATTGAAAGGCCGTTTGCAGACTGATTGGAATTGTTCATGAATAAACTTTATGGGTCTGCAGGGGTCCTCGATGAGTCAAGTGCATCATTCTGGTGCAGTTGGCTCTCACTGCATAAAAAGGCCTTCTGATGTCAGGAGAGAGAGAATGGTCTTTGGACTCAGAGAAACCTGGATTATAACGCTGATGTCTCCACAGAATAGCTGTTGGACAGATATGTTAACCTCAAATAAAGCTTAATCTGCTTATGCCTCCCCCCTCTGACATTTTGATGGGGTGTCTGCATAGTTTTTAGCCACAGTCAAGGCTGTTCGCAGATGAGCAGAGCATGTACAAACCTACTGATATCATTTTCAGGAATACGATGTTTTTGGTTTGTTTTAATTTTTATTCCACCCCAGCCAAACTTTTGGGCCTGGGCAGCCTGTTAATCTTTTGAGGGACAACTGGTTCACTTATAGGTAGATGATACTTTTCAGGCAATAAATAACTTCACTTAAAAAGGATGACTAAAATTACCCTCCCAAAACTCTGGGGGAGATGATGGTCTGCATACGTACGATCTCCTGACAGAAATTGGCACCTGTCACTGTCATCCCAGAAATGGAACTGTTACATCTGATGGAAGCCAAGCCTCGGGCAAGGGAATGACTGTCAGTGCTGCCTGGAGAATGCCCAAGCACTTACAGTCCTTGTAGAATATTTCTGTCCATCCACATGACCATTGCACTTCTATTAATACTGTGTCATCTACTTAAGTTCTGACAAAGAGAAGACAGCTTTTGGTCCACCTGCGTAAACATAAATAATTGGTGTTGGCGTCACCAGAGCCTGTGTTTCATAGAACTAACAGACATGTGCTTCTGTGTGTATGCATATATACATGTAGGCATACTCACTTGCCATAAATAAATATGTAAATCTACACACATATATTTGTATAAAATATAGCACTGTGTTCTGGGAAAGTTTCTTTTTTTTCTATAAAAAAGTTGTGGCATCCTTAAACTTAATGATAAAATGGCCAAATTTTAAGCATGCTGTAATGAAATTATCTGAATGGATGGCCATTTTTCCACCTACCTTCCTTTTTCTTTATTGGGTTTTTATTTTGTTTTACCCTGGATAGGGTGAGCTCATACATGCTGCAGTGCATGTGTGGAGATTGGAGGATAACTTTTCTACGAGTTGTGTAACAGGTCTTTTTTGGACAGGCAGCTCCCAAATCATGACACAGAGACATTGTATTAATTATGAAAGCTTGGCCTTAGCGTAGGCTTGTTCCCAACTAGCTCTTAAAGCGTAAACTAACCCATTTATATTCATCTGCATTCTGCTGTGTGGCTCATTACCTCTCCAATTCTTTACATCCTACTTCCTCTGCATTTTGCTGGTTGCTGTTAAGTCAACCCCCCTCAGATTCTGATCTCTCCCTGGAAGCCCCGCCTATCCTCTGCTGCCTAACTATTGGCCACTCAGCTCTTTATTAAACCAATCAGAAGGTGCCTTGAACAGGCAACAGCGGCACATCTTCACACAGTGTGATCAAATATCCCTCAAGGGAGTTAGTTTTCTCCTGGCTTTTTTGAGGCAGGCCCTCTTGTTTGTGCAGCTGTGTTTAGCAAACTTCCTGAGGAGTCTCCCATCTCACCCTAGTAGTACTGGGATTACAGGTGTGAGCCACTGGATCTGGCTCTGTTCCCTGGGTCCCAGGGACTGAACTCAGACTATCAGGCTTGTTGTGGGCACCTTTATCTGAACTTTATCACTGAACCATCTCCCAGCCCTTCCCCGCCCCCTCAATCTCCCGTGAAGCTGTCAAACTGTCTGTTTAAAAGGCTGGAAAATGAAGCATAACTTGGTGGACTCCCTAGATACGTGGGCCAAACACACTCGCGATGCTATTGGAGGACATTCCAGTTCCCCT